AGAACCATGAAAGGGTGGAACAACAGTGCACAACCAATCCATGCAATATTGATTTTTTAAAAGGGAAATCTGTTTACTTGCTTGAAGATTACTAATATAAAGCAACTATTCTGCTGTTATTTTAGTCATATTTAAGTGTGTGTGTGTGCATCCGAAGGGGGAACTACAAAACTGGGGGTGAGGGAATAAAACAATATATTAAAACCATATACATTTTAAAGCATTTTGCTACCTAAATAAGTAAGCTGTAATTCCCCCACTTGATTTTATCACAATATGTTTAACAAGACACCTGCAATTTAAAGTATAGCAGAGTACGCATTTCCATGGATCATGTGCAGATCTTTACATGTACTTCATAGGATCTTGTCTCTCTAGCATGGGCATTTACAGTGCAGTCCTAAACATGGCAATTCAAAAGATAATCCCATTGAGTTTACTCCCAGTAAACATATATATAGCATTGCAGCCTGAGTGGACTAATTGATAATAATGACTTTCATTTATAGAGCCTTCTGAATCTGGACTCTTCTCAGTGGACTTGCAGTTAACAAGCATGAGGGACATAGACACAGCATGAATATCATGTATCGACTGCTCAAAATGCTCTGAGATGTGCTACCTGAAACCATTAATAATAATAATAATAATAATAATAATAATAATATTTTATTTCTACCCCACCCATACAACTTACAGGAGCATGGCAGGGCTTGATTAAAAATATAGGGCGGTATTCAACTAAGTTTTATTCAGAGAAGTCCCACTGAAGCTATTGGACCTCACTTGGTCATGTTCATTAATCTCAATAGGTCTACTCTGAGTTAAATGCAGTTGACTATCACCCATAAGATAATTTGTCACAAATGTGTTAACAACTTAAAGCGTCTAAGGCGCTGTCTTTGGGTCTCGTTCAAATAAGTAGCCCTTCCGATGGCACAGTGCCCTCTGGCATGGAGCTACAGTGTTGGCTAACTAATAGAAAATGGGAAAGCTGCACTTAATGAATCAACAAAGTCATTTCCTGCAACTGTCTGCATTTCCCTGGACACCTTCCCCTCCAAGTGCTGACCAGGCACAATGCTGCTGTTCAGCACATGACAAATAGCAACTGCAGGATTCAAGGCTTTGTGACCACAATTCCATTACATGAGAGCAGGAGCAACATGCACACGCCATGTTACCTAATCTATCCATCAGTATCTGCAATGATTCTTGACAGCTGGCCTTTGCTATTATGGCATTTGTCTTCATGAGCCCAGAGACAAAGGATTAGCTGAAAGTGGTTTGGCTGTGAGTTATCCCGTCTCTTATCACAATTGTGTTAAGATAAATTGTGCGGCAAGTCAGCCATTGTGTACTATATGTATTGCAGGTTCTGTTCAAACCCTTACAGTAACATTTTTGGGGGTACCTCTATGCCTTTGTGGGACGCGGGTGGCACTGTGGGTTAAACCACAGAGCCTAGGACTTGCCAATCAGAAGGTCGGTGGTTCGAATCCCCGCGATGGGGCGAGCTGCCGTTGCTCGGTCCCTGCTCCTGCCAACCTAGCAGTTCGCAAGCACATCAAAGTGCAAGTAGATAAATAGGTACCGCTCTGGCGGGAAGGTAAACGGCGTTTCCGTGTGCTGCTCTGGTTTGCCAGAAGCGGCTTAGTCATGCTGGCCACATGACCTGGAAGCTGTACGCTGGCTCCCTCAGCCAATAAAGCAAGATGAGCGTTGCAACCCCAGAGTCGGTCACGGCTGGACCTAATGGTCAGGGGTCCCTTTACCTTTCCCTATGCCTTTAAGAAGGCTGGCAAGCCTACTCCTTTGACAACCACAGTTGACCACATCCACATGCAGTTACAAGGAGATTTGGTCCTAACATACCAGCTTCATTTTAGTAAATGAATAAATGCTTTCAAGGGCTCCTCCTAAGTGTCCTTTTAAACAACATTCCATTGATGTAGTCTACAGGAATAACCAAATAACCTGATAACCAAAGCAGCTATTCTTTACCTCTTTTGACCACTAGCCAAGCTCTCTTGAAGTTCTATGCTATGAAGGGCCAGATATCATTGCAGCAGAACTGAAAGATTATCATTTACTATAGCCACATAAATTTGGTGGCTTCCCTATAAGGTATCAAAGTAGTACAGGAATGTACCTTTCAGTTTAATTAATGGTATGTCAAGCATTTCTAATCTAAAACCTCATTTTTCTCCCCAAAGGGATACTAAATCCGCTGTTTTAAATTGCATTTACCTGCAGTTTGGTGTCCAAGTTGTCAGCTCTGGTACGATTTATTTTTTTCCTTAAACACTGTACAAATTACCTAGCCATTTTAAAATTATATAGCAGCAGGAAGCAAAGTTGCTGGGTTTTTTCTTTTTTAATGATTCAGGGTGCTTTATTTCAAGCTCACTTACAGGTACACTAAAAACAACTACATTTTTCAAAAATGAAATTTAACAAGCAACACTTAAGAGTGAGAAAAATGCTCGCTAGACTAAACTTGATCACACTTCACTCTCCTTTTTTCTTTTCTACTTAGAGGTGAGGAAAGAAGGAAAGGCAAAGTGTGAAATACAACTGTGGGGATTGGGAAAGTCGATCCAATCCCAAGAGGGCTGACTAAATGCCTGCATGCTCTAGTTTAAAACTTGCCAATGCTGTATCTCAACGGTGCTTGGGATTGCAATAAAAGTCTGTTTGTGAAGTTAAAGAAAAACACAAGTTCTTTGAGGTATGTGATATTAATTTCATGGCATGTGGTAGTATTTCTTTTCAATCAACATCATGATTTGTACAAGCTATTCTGTTTTCTAGTTGCTTTTTTGCAGTATTAATACAGACACACATACATTCAAGTACATGTGGTGCTCTCCTCAGTTAATGTTGGACCCCAGCTATCACACAAGTTACTTGAAAATTGAGGATAATCATGCTTTGATTTTTTTTTTTAACCCACCACCAATATTTCCCTAAATCCATGCTTGATGTACAACTTATAAATGTGACACATTATAGGTTTGTCAGAAGTGTCTCTCTTTATTAGCCAATGCAACATCAAAAATGCCTAAGATATCCCTACATCAAATTGCTTCTCCCCCTCTCTCTGTTATTTATGACTAATTACATTAATGCAAAAGAAAGAAATGTCCTCCATTCTTAATTCTTTCTCAAGGCTTGGATAAATGATTGCAAATGAAAAATGAAAAGAACCCATGATATTGTCTAAAAATGATATCAATGATCCCCATATAGGACAGCTGCATATTCCTGCATTGCAGGGGGTTGGACTAGATGATCTTCAGGGTCCCTTCCAACTCTACAATTCACTGATTCTATGATATATAGCCAGGTAAAGCCTTTTCAGGGAAATTTGTATAACTTTGCATTTATAAAGTGACATTTATGAAGAGATTTTACTTTCTTGGGCTCCATGATCACTGCAGATGGTGACAGTAGCCACGAAATTAAAAGACACCTGCTTCTTGGGAGAAAAGCAATGACAAACCTAGACGGCACCTTAAAAAGCAGAGACATCACCTTGCCAACAAAGGTCCGTATAGTTAAAGCTAAGGTTTTCCCAGTAGTGATGTATGGAAGTGAGAGCTGGACCATAAAGAAGGCTGATCGCCAAAGAATTGATGCTTTTGAATTATGGTGCTGGAGGAGACTCTTGAGAGTCCCATGGACTGCAAGAAGATGAAACCTATCCATTCTGAAGGAAATCAGCCCTGAGTGCTCACTGGAAGGACAGATCGTGAAGCTGAGGCTCCAATACTTTGGCCACCTCACGAGAAGAGAAGACTCCCTGGAAAAGACCCTGATGTTGGGAAAGATTGATGGCACAAGGAGAAGGGGACGACAGAGGACGAGATGGTTGGACAGTGTTCTCAAAGCTACTAACATGAGTTTGACCAAACTGTGGGAGGCAATGGAAGACAGGGGTGCCTGGGGTGCTCTGGTCCATGGGGTCACGAAGAGTCGGACACAACTAAATGACTAAACAACAACAACAAATATTTACCTCCTCCAATTTCCCTACTCTAAACAAGGCAATTATGTACTCTTTGTTCAGGTATATGATAGTGGTACTTCTAAAAAAAGTAATGATTAAATCTTTCAAGATATTAATAACAAAAAAATACTAACATCCTTCCTTCACCCTGCTATGCAATGGGCAGAAAACTTTAGTCTAGTTCAACTTCATAGATTTAACTCAAACATGAATTAGCAATACATAGACTAAACGACTAAACAACAACAACAACAAAAGTAGAAAAGCAGGGGTGACAGAGTTACCCATTATGCTCAAAGCTTAATCTTAATAGGGTCTGACTACACATCGAATGTGGGACACGGTGGTACTGTGGGTTAAACCACAGAGCCTAGGACTTGCCAAATCAGAAGGTCAGCGGTTCGAATACCCGCGACGGGGTGAGCTCCCGTTGCTCAGTCCCTGCTCCTGCCAACCTAGCAGTTCAAAAACACGTCAAAGTGCAAGTAGATAAATAGGTACCACTCCTGCGGGAAGGTAAATGGCATTTCCGTGCGCTGCTCTGGTTCGCCAGAAGCGGCTTACTCATGTTGGCCACATGACCCGGAAGCTGTACGCTGGCTCCCTCGCCAATAAAGCGAGATGAGCGCTGCAACCCCAGAGTCAGCCACGACTGGACCTAATGGTCAGGGATCCCTTTACACATCAAATGAGTTATAACAATATGCATAAAGCTATCAGTACTGTATTAAAATCCAGAAACTGCAAACCTTGATGTTTTGATTCCTTTTTTATTCATATAAAGGGAAGAATAAGTGAACAGATTTTCCTCCATTTTACATAGCGACAGACTGCAAAATCTGTCTGGAAAAGTTAAGGAAGCATTTTACCAAACTATATCTTAGGTATATGACTGATTGTAGGTGTGAAGGAATGAAACGGCTCCACCATTTCATTTTCTCTCCTTTATTACAAGAACATTTTTTTTCTTTTCCCTTCTTTCCTTTTTGTTAAAAAAAATGTGTCTGTTCTAAGTTAACAGAGGAAAAAAATATGCAGCCCAGCAACTTGGTAGTTAAGGAAACATGCATCCTCAAGATTTAAGGGAGAGAAATTGAGCAGGTTGAAAGGATGGAAACTTATCCACAAGTGTACTCCCCTTCTAACTGACTATGAGGTTCAGGGGGAGAGTAGAAATAATGTGTATAAGGAGACAGTTGAAACATAGTATGATCATAGTGGAAGATAGAGAAAAAGGGAGTATTTGTGTGAATGCTGAAACGATGGTGGTGGGGAAACAAATTGAAACATTGTGGAAGTATGTCAGTTTGCATTTCTTAGTACATAAAGTATTGATCCAATGTATGGTATCTTTCCCATTCTACTTAATTCAAGAGAAGCTTCTCTGTGTGAAAGAAACAAGCATAAGGTTCATGATGTTTGGGTTGCTCCTTCAGAGAAGCTGAGTACAGCTGGTTTAAACTGGTTCTCTTATCTTTTCTGTCAAGGTCATGCTGACTATAATAATAGGCAAGAAGGAGCCTGGGTTTCACTTTCCCTTTCTGTCTCTCTTTCCTTCTTGTGTGGTGTTCTGTATATAGTATGCCTATTGTTAAAGTTTTAGACTTATTATAAGTTATCGTAAGTTTAAGTTAAGTCTGCTGCAACTGGATTTCTTAAGGACAGTGCCAATCCTGAATGTATTAGATTTGTGACCATTACGCTCATTTGCCTTCAGTAGCAGTAAAGCCCTGCTGGATGAAATACAATTGCCTCTCGTCTATTTTGTGGGAATCCTGCAATGTGTTTAATTTTTTACTCTGCTAACTATACATTGGAGTTCTGCTCTGGATCAATATCGAGCAGGATTTCAATGACAAAGTAAGGAAGCACAGTGGAAGCACTGCACAAGGAAGAAGCCAGGAAAGGAGGCTGCAAATGGAACTGGAAGCTCAGCTCTGAGAAAGTATTGAGCAGGTGAGAAAAGTAATCTAGTCTAGCTTGAGGTGGATACAATTTCTTCTGTCATTTTGATTTTGCTCCTTGGTATCAACATTCAAAGTGTTCTTAACTTTTTCCTTTTTAAGAACAGGTTTCCAAAACTGGAAAAGGTTAAGTTTTTTAAAAGTTGTTGTTGTTGTTGTTGTTAAATTTGTCATTTTATTACTCACCCCATACCTAATTGCTTTCATACTCTACCGAGGACAGAAAATTGGCTGAGCCAGTGGGTTTTTCAAGTGCCAGAAGCTGGAGCATAGAAGCATAGAATTATATAGTTGGAAGATACCCTAAGGGTCATGTAGTCCAACTTCCTGCAGTACAGGAATTCTGCACACAGCTGTCCCAGGTGGGCTTGAACCACCAACTTTCTGGTTAACAGCCAGAAACATTGATCCACTGAGCTACATTCGGGGGGGGGGCAGTTGGCATGCACACTATACCTTTAAAGCACTTTTGAAACTCATTTCGCTGTCAAAGAATTCTGGTCATTGTAGCTTACTGCTCACAGTAACGATACCTAGAAACACTAGGACCCTCGTACCTATGGGACCGCCTCTCCTGGTATGCCCCGTGGAGGACCTTAAGGTCCATAAATAGCAACACTTTAGAGGTCCCGGGCCCTAAGGAAGTCAGATTAGCCTCAACCAGGGCTAAAGTGGGCCTAAATGTTTTGCTTTCTGTAATATAAAAAAAGTATTCCTCAATTTTATTGAACCTCATAAATAAAATGTCATTCATATCATGTGCATGGGGAATATGTTAATTGAGAAAGAATATGTGATTTTGCAGGATCAAATAACTGTAGTTAAAAAATGAATATAAACCAAAGTCTTACGTTTAAACATATCAGTCAGTGAAATTAATTGATCCATGTATAACTCAGGTTAAAATAGGCCTTTTTAAATCAGCTTTAAATAAGATCTATCAAATGTGAGAAGGTATTCATTGGTTAACGTATTATTCCCTTGATATAGGAAATATTGTAAAGTTGATTTTTGAAGTAATGAATTGCCTGTGATTTAGGTGGAAGTTATACCCTTGAAAATTTAAATTACATTGAGACATTAATTTTAGTAAATTAATTAGGAAATAAAGTAAATGAAAGATAGTTAATTTGACTGAAGTAATGTAACAGTATGAGAAATTTAACAGTTTAAGTTTCCCTTCTTATTATTCACAGAAATTTGTGTCTTCTACCACTCTACAGCATCTATTAATGACATCCACATATTTAGCCACCCATGGATAGCATGAGAGTGTTAGAATTCCTGCTCCATGATTGCAATCATGGGATTTTTGTCTATCACATGATGGTGTATGTTTTGACTCCACAGAGTGGGAAGTGATGGAGACAGGATGTTTGTGTTACTGTGTTCTGTGAAGTGGGACTATTGTCCTTTGTTCTTTTTTCTCTTTGCTGTCTGATGCTAGAGAGAGATGGAGCCGTGTTGCAGTGCTCAGTGTGTATTTATATGTAAATAAAGTAGATTAGCCAAAACGCTGAGTTGCTGAGGTCTGTCATGCATGATGTGCAAACTCTGCGGATCCCTGAGTGTGCCGGTGTTGATTGGCATTGGTTGCTGTGATATTCGGACAGAAGAAACCTTTTGAAGCTCCTGAACTATCAACCAGGAGGGAGGGAACATGCCAGTCGGGCATGTGTCTCTGCCAAGGTCCTACTCGAGTGTAGGCTGAACTCCTGACAGAGATATCTCATATTTTCCTCATATTATTTGTGCACTGTGCGTCATTCTCATCTCTGAGAAAGCTCTCTAGTTAGTCAATTAGTTAGTTAGTTAGTTTATTAAATTTCTATACTGCCCTTCATTGAAGGATCACAGGGCAGTTTACAATATAAAAACACAAAATTGCATAAACAAATACAATACCCCCAACCTACAATATTTTATTTATTAAATTTAAATTTAAAAATGACTTCTGAAGGGCTGGCAGTTTATGTATAATTATGCATCATAATTATGCCAATATATGTTGAACAATTTCAAAAAAGAAAAACAAAAAAGGGAGGGAGGGAGGGCAAATGAGCATAATAAAAGCAAACAAAGTGATACTTGAGTCTTCCACGAAGATTTTGACAGAGGAGAAACCACTGTATATGAAACACTGGTGTACTGCACCCTGCTATAAGAGCACAGAGTGCAATCCCTCAAGATGCTGCACATATATGAAGTTCTATCCAAGTTTTCCTGCCCCCTTAAAATCCTGTTATTATTATTCTACAGTGCTTTATACAATTTTAGGCATGATCATCATATAAGCACTTTTGTCACCATTTGGCTGGATCAAAGCAGAATCTAGAATAGTGTGATCTACCAGTTTCTTTCACTTCCTTGGCCTGGCCTGATGACCCAATTTTATTTTAACACAGCAATTTTTACAAAGGATCAATTTTCCCAAAATGGATGTATGAAAAATGAAAATGCAACAAATATCTCAGCAATCAAGTTCTCCCAATATCGACCACATCTTCCACTGCAATTAGTCCTCCCACAGGGCACATTGGGATTTACAGAGAAGGTGCACAGGATGGGACACAGGAGCAGCCCCCCTGTCCCCACTCTCACCCCACACATGTCCTTATGTTGAAGATGAAAGCTGAATGAACTGAAAGTGGCACTTTATGGGTAGAGAGTGTTTCAGTTAATTGATGGGAAATTCATGATGGCTGGTGGGGAAGCCAACTTAGGGCCCTGTCAGGGAAAAAGACAAGGTATAAATAAATACATAATAACAATAATTTCTCCACTACTTTGTAGTTTTTTTAAAAAAAATGCACAAGTCAGAAACACTTAGCATGTCATTTATGGTTTTGGTATCATAGATTCAACCCTAACTCTGTTTAGGATCACTGCACAGACTGATCAGAAGGTATTCTAGCTCCAAAAGGCCACTCAAGAGTTAATCTTACAGCCAAAGCCCACTCAGTTGACTCACGTGGTGTGGAAACACTGTTGGAAAAGCTTCCATAAACCATCTGAGAACACTGAACAAAATGCTCTTTAATAATCGTGAATGAAGTACAATCTTTGATTCACTGTTAATTACCTGTTTGACCCACCAGAATTATCTGCAATTTAACAGCATGGCAGGTAACAACTGGAGAGTTCTAAATCCCTGCCTGAAAGATTGATAATGTTTTCTTCTTAACAGACAGACAGACACAGTCCTCAGTACTATAAGCAGTGCTTTTTTGGGAGGGTACACAGGGGTACGCATACCCCTAAGCATTTTGTGAATCTTTGTACTTTTGTCCATTTACTGTATTCATTTTTCCCAGTCTGAACTATAAATGATGGTTTTCATAGTACTGGGTTATAGAATGGAAAATACCATAGTGTGCATGCCATTCTTTTATACCATGTTGTACAGGATTTTAAAATGTTATGGCTATCCTTGTTAATCTATGGATTTTAATAGTTAATTGTTCCCATATTACTGACCTCTAGATGATGGTTTGCAACATGCTACTGAAATGATGCAAGTGTTAAACAAATGCCAAGTGTTTAGGACAAACTCTCCAGAGAACCTAAGATGTCACTTTTATTCAACACTGCATGGTTTTACACGGATGCAAAAGGTGAAAGAGTCTAATGAAGGACTGGGAGAAGCTTATATACTGCCAGGCAGCTTTGAAGAGGTAAATAATTAAAGATCCAAGGAAAGCAAAAAACAAAACAAAACAGTTTGTAGGGCTATCAGAGGTCTAGCATATATATGATGGGCAAAAGATTAAAGATAGGATGAACACAGATGCTCAATGGAAGTTCACACAACCTCCCATGTCTTAAAACAGGGATCACCAATGTGGTGCCCATGAGCGCCCGTGCACCCATATTGGCCTTCTCTGGCAGCCACAGGGTCCCCTCCTGCTGTAGTCAGTAAAAGACATTCTGCTGTGTGTTTGGATGTGTATGTGTATGCATACACACAGTGTCCAGTCCCTTATTTGCAAATATGCTCATGGGCCCCCCAAAAAACTGGCAATGCCTGTGTTAAAAGGAAATGTGAAGGATCAGCTTCATTCCTTCACACCTGACCCTACTGGCTGCACATTTGGCAATGATGAAAAGGAGGTGTACATGGGCACTAATGTGTTGTGCAAAGCGCCTCCACTGTAGGGGGAATCCTGGGCTAACATGTTTGTTGGTATGTGTGCAGGGCCCTTTCTCAGGGCTGCCAACCATACAGCTCACAGAGGTGTAGCCAAGTGGACGTGCTGGAAGCAGGCCTCACACCCCAAATATTTTATGGTTTCCGTTGTTCTACTCCTTGTTACCTATGAAGTGAAGAACTGTTTCTCATACACTAATGTTTTGTCGCTACACCCTGTTTGTTCAAGAAAGGAGTTGGTTAATATTTTCACATAATCTTAAAAGTTTATTCAAACTATAATGCTATTGTATCAAAGGGGCTGAGTAAAACAACGTCAACAATCTCCTCCTCCTCCTCTTCCTTGGGTTTTTTCTCTCTCTCTCTCCTAGGACAAATGCCTGACTCTTTAAAAAAGAAGATTACATTGCTTTTTTGCCTGAGAATTCCTCCATTATGCGGCTTTTAAGCTTCAGTTTTAAAGCCTGAAAATCCATCTATTGTGTGCAATTTCACACCTTGAAATTAAGATTAGTCATATATATGTGAACCCAACACAGCTCCTTCATCACACAGATTGCTCAGAACTATAACCTCAGAGATATGACTACAATCTCTGCTTTAAAATAAATCCCTCAATGCTAGTACAGTGGTACCTCAGGTTAAGTACTTAATTCGTTCTGGAAGTCCATTCTTAACTTGAAACTGTTCTTAACCTGAGGTACTACTTTAGCTAATGGGGATTCCTGCTGCCGCTGCGCGGCCGCCGTGCGATTTCTGTTCTCATCCTGAATCAAAGTTCTTAACCCGAGGTACTATTTCTGGGTTAGTGGAGTCTGTAACCTGAAGCGTCTGTAACCCGAGGTACCACTGTATTATAATATGAACATCATGGGGTTAAATTTAGAACCTGTTATCATCATCTAGAACACTGTGCCTTCTAGGCAGAGGGCCTTCTCAGTAGTGGCACCCGCCCTATGGAGCGCCCTCCCATCAGATGTCAAGGAAATAAACAAGTATCTGACATTTGAAGGCAGCCCTGTCTAGGGAAGTTTTTAATGTTTGCAGTTTTATTCTGTTTTTAATGTTTTGTTGAAAGCTGCCCAGAGTGGCTGGGGAAATCGAGCCAGATGGGTGGGGTAGAAATAAATTATTATTTATTGTTGTTGTTGTTGTTATTTTTCCAGATGTTGTTGGGCTACAATACTCATCATTACCAGTCAGCATGGCCAATGGTCAGGGATGATGGGAGTTGAAGTCCAGCCATATTTGGAGGGTACTGCTCTATGGACAGATTCTACCTTTAGACCTCTCTGTCACCCCCCCCCATTCTCTCTCTGTTTCTTCTCCATACATAGCCTACAAATAAAGTGGGTATTATATGCATTTTAAGATTCCCATTCAAAACCCAAGCAATTATTTGAAATGGCTTATAAAATACCCCACAAAACTGCCAATATTTAACTCTCTTTTTTTTTTTAAGCGTTTATTAACTTTCCAATAAAAAACATCCAATTAACATATCAAATCAAATCCAATAAAAATAAAAAAACTAAAATAAAAAAGGTCCAATTGTCTTCCAAATTGTAATAATTTTGTTTTGACTTCCCACGGTCTGAATTTCGAAGTGCATTCAACATCATAGTTCTGCCTCTCATCATCCTCAATGTTATTCATAATTCCATGTCCGATTTTTCCCTTCCACATTTTGACTCTGGTTCTACGATCCTCACTCATGTCAGAAAACCGATACTTTTTTTTCTTCTATGGAGTGCAGATTTGTCCGTATATTGTACTCCTTGAGCTCCACTTTCATTGCACCACTTCATTTAATTGCATCCAATTTCAAAGTTCTGTCCAGCTCTTTGAGTTGTTATTTTGGCAGCTCCCAGATCGTTAATCTTTCCCGTCCAGGTGTTATCAAAGAAACAGAGAGAAATTTCCTTCTGTACCCTCCTTGTTGATTTATCTTAAAAAGAATGTTTGCAATGTAGCCATATATCAGACAGTTAGTATTTGGCCTTTGGAATCTTCCCAGTCCCCCCTCCGGGTCCTAGAGGGGGGATGCCAGACATCCATTTAGCCCTCTCTCTCGCTCGTAATCAAAAAAACATCTTTTTGCAAACAGTTGCATATGTAATATTGTTTCCAGTCTTTATAACCAACCATCCGTTAGCTCCTGTTTCTCTTAATCAGGGAAGTATTTCAGATATTCAATAATGACGTGGTGGGAGACGCCATTTTGTCCTTTGTCCTTTGTTTTCGTCTTTAACAGACATTTCCGGTCTTAGAAGAGAAGTGGCTGCGAGTAGATCCCAATTATATATGAAAGTCCATCTGAACTCACTTTTTGAAGAGCAATTTAAGTTCTTAATGAGACTTGGCATGCATTACGGATTGATGATGTTAAGGATAAAAGAATGTTTTTTTTACATACCAAGCCCCTCCACATTCCAAACGTCATGATGAGGATTTCTTTGAAGTTCGATCTTTTGCACCAGAGACTGTACATACTGCAGGTTTTTTTCCAGCTTCTTCAATTCAGAGCGTTTCTGTTTGTTTTCCAAATCTTTATATTTTCCCAAACAGATGCGTCTGGCTATGGGGTGGCGTCGCAGGAGTGTCAGCTGTCCCTAGCTCCGTGACCCAGTGCCCCTGCCG